ACACAATCAATAATCGAAATGCCGCACTTGTCCAATCTTGGCCATGGCTGCCTTCTCGTCTGCTGCGTCGTTCAGCTCCGCGGTAGATTCGGTCACGGCCTAGGCAGGTTCATCGGTGTCTACCTGACGCTGCCGGGACTCTCATTACTCAGGTTCATCAGCCGTCGGCTGAATGAATATCTCTAGTCGCCACTTCATATTGTATTGATCAGACTCAGAATGGCTTAGTTAATAGGAAAACGGTTTACTGAACGTAGGCTGTCGTACAACGTGCACGGCCACGACGCCATCTTTGTCAAGCACGAACAGCTCGCGCTTGACCTCGCGCGTGGCAACGTTATAATTTGTCTCACCCTAGCATGAACTATTGTCAGCCACACGTGCTAAAAGCGCGAGCTATTTGCTTTGAGTGAAGCCTCGGCGGCTGCACGAGCACTCGTGCAACGATTACTACAGTCCAGGCAGTGAAGGCTACCCACTCGCGCTTGAACAACCTTCGAAGTTTATCTAGAGTAGTCGGTTAATCCATGCTAAGGTGAGACGAAGTTTAGAGCTCTCCAAAAAGAGCGTGTGATCGGTACCATTTTCAGTGTTCTTGTATATGGCGCGTGCTTTGCTCACTTTCCGAAGCGATGAACACGCAGGGGCTGGGCTGTCAAGGTCGCACGCTGGACTGTGATTTTGTAAACATTGGAAAGGTCTGTAACATGCTCGGCTTAACACCGCAGTTCTTTGGTTAGGAGTGCGGAATTCCGTGAAGTCCAGATGAAATGTGTTGCTGGATAGAAGCGTGGACGCGTGCCTCGACACAGATTATCATCGTTATCATGTGGGAGAGGAGGAGTGAAGTGATCGACAATGATTGGTTAACGGGGAGGTCGTGCGGCCAGACGGGTATGCGAGCAGGACTGAGGTAGGCAAGGAGGACCTTGACCCCCTGTTTGCATTGAACGGAAAACAACTCGAGAGTGTGGAAGGCTCTGGAATATCGCCAGACTTATCAGCCAGGTTAGCGGCGGCAACCCTTCATTCTAGGAACAGCTATCGAGTGTACATATGACTAGAGATGTAAAATTTCCGGAAATTTTGAAGGCCGGAAAAAAACGACGAAAAAAACAAGTTTTTTCCCGGAAATTTTGGAAACATTCGAAAAATATTCTCAACAGCTATAATTCAGTAATGATTCGAAATATATCGACAGAGGTCAACAACCGCGAGATATTTCCGCCAGTTTTACGGTGAACTATTATATTATATCACCTTTTTTAACGTTTACGACAACTTTTGTCAATTTAGCTGAGCTTTGACTACTCATCTGGCAACAACCGATAGCACCTACGCAGTTCTTCGTTCCCGCCGGTGTCGTTCGCGCTCTCGACGGGCAGTCGGAGGAGCCATATCACTTTAGCTTTCCCAGCCCCTTAGTGAAAGTTCTGAGCATCTTACTCTGGTGTGGACACTTGCCGTGGACCGTGGACCTGTCAAAACTGTGTGCTGTGCGCCGTGGAGAGGTCAGCCAGGGCAGCTATAACGCTTTAGCTTGAACAGCGCCGTTTCCGAAACCTCGCGCGCATCGTTCTCGGGTATGGACTTTCGCCGTGGATCCGTGAAAACTGTGCGCTGTTCGCTATGGTGAGGCCGCGCTCCAACGTTTGGAGGAACTTTGACGTGCTAAACAGTGGTAAGGGGCCAGCGGTGTGCAGATTTTGCTGTGCCAAATACGAATTTCCCAACGCAACTCGCTTGCGGCAGCACATCGAAAGGTGCTCGAAGTGCCTCCCGGACATCAGGTCTGCAGCATCGGACGACCCGACAAGATCAGAGTCTGGGGCATGTCGGTCCAGGAGCCCATCTGTGGAAGTTTTACGGTCAGAGCGTGCACCTGTGGAAAATGAAAGCACAAGCTCTCAAAATGAGGCCGACAGGTATGTCAAGCAGCGAACTTCTATAGAAGCGTTCGTTGACAGAATGACGCAAGGGTGTCAAAGCAAGCTTGATGAGGCGCTGGCTCGAGCGATATATGCCAGTGGAACGCCTTTATCAGTTACGGAAAACAGATACTGGCGAGAAGCGTTCAAGCTCCTCAGGCCCGCATTCGTGCCGCCTTCCAGGCATTTTTTAGGTGGACGACTCTTGGAGGCCGAGTATGCCCGAGTGATGACGCAGGTGGAAGAGAAAGTCAACGCCGCTCTGTGCGTCACTGTACTCACGGACAGCTGGACCAATGTACGGGGCGAGAGCATCTTGAACTTTGTGTTGGCTACACCGAAGCCTATTTTCTACAGCGCCGTGGAGACGGAAGATCACAGGCACACAGGAGACTACATCGCGGGAGAGATTGTGAAGGTTGTGGAGAAAATTGGAACTGACAAGGTTTTCGCTCTTGTTACCGACAATGCAAGCAACATGAAGGCCGCGTGGACAATCGTCAGTCTGCGCTACCCTAGCATCACTACTCTTGGATGCTGTGCTCATGGACTAAACTTGTTGCTGTCGGACATGCTCAAACTGGTGACATTGCAAGAAGTTTGCAAGAGGTCCAAGACTGTAATCAAGTATGTCAGAAACTCTCACGTGGTTGCGGCTCACTTTGCTAAGAGGCAAGAAGAGTGCTATGCTGGAAACCAGACCACATTAAAACTACCAGCTGAAACTCGCTGGGCGGGCATTTTGATGTCACTAGAAGGCTTACTGAAGAACAAAGAAGCTTTACAGAAAACTGTGATCGCTGCGGAGCTTCAAGTGAGCAGGGAAATAAGATTAACGATATTAGATGAAGACTACTTTTGGCGAGATGTGCAAAGCACCTTCCACGTGTTGCAGCCAGTTGCCCGTGCTATTTCCGAGGCTGAGTCAGACACTGCTGTCCTCTCAGACGTCCATGAGATCCTGTTCAAAGTAACAAGACAAGTCGAAGAGGCCCTTCCAAACTCTGCCTCGACAACGGGCGAAAAGGAAAGAGTAGCAGAAATCCTGCGTGAGCGACGCAACTTTATTTGCCGTCCAGCACATGCTGCCGCAAATTTGCTCGACCCGAAGTTCAAAGGGCGGTGCTTAAGTGACGAAGAGGTATGCCACGCAATGGACTACATCACAGAGACGGCAGAAAGGATGTGTCTCGATGTGGGAAAAGTGTTGTCAAATCTCGCCGAATACCGGGTCCAGTCAGGTGCTTGGTCGAGGAAGGCATTGGAGGACTCGGCGAAGCATATTCCACCGTCCACGTGGTGGCAAGGGCTGTGTGCCTCTGAACCCCTGGCACCAATTGCTTGTCGCCTTCTCCAAGTCCCGCCCTCCTCCGCTGCGTGCGAACGAAACTGGTCGAAGTTCAGCGGTGTCCACACCAAAAGTAGGAACCGACTCAAAGGACACAGCTAGTGCAGAAGTTGGTGTTTGTTCGCTCCAATCTCGAGCTCAGGAGCCCTGATCTGAAATACCACGACGGAGATGACTCAAGCGTGGAGTCAGAGTAGCCCTAACTAACACACTGCTTTGGAACATCCGTCTTAATTTACAAAAGATATCTAGTCAACGCGTGCATATCTACCTCATCCAATGTTGGTTTTGAAGTTTGATCCTGTACTCTTTAATGCAGAACTAGTTGTACCCTTAGAAGGGAAAAGGGTCATGACAAAATACATCAATGTTGTTAAACTTCACTCCCCTTTGAATATGATTATTTAACGTGGCATTAAAACATGGCACTACCTTCATGATAGTACATAAAGCGATTAATTTCTTCAATGGTTGACATATGCGACTATATTTCGCCACTCTGCTGTTATGTTATTTAAAGCTATGTTCATGCTGGTGCGGTAGTGGAGATCCGGCTGTAAATTAAGAGTCTCGTATATTAATTTATTGACCGAGAAAAACGCCATAGAGGACTTAGAAACACGGCTTCATCACATGCGTACACACTACCAACAAGCCTCGGACAGCACTGTCATTTCTCCTCCGTATAAGGCGTTCACACTGTACAGTAAAGCAACGGTCATTCGGGATGGTTGCTGCATAGTTTTTAGACAACGCAAACGGTGCAACGACGGGGCGAGGCGGCAGACAACCCGAGATGATTGTGTTTCCTCACTTGCCCCGCCGTCGCGCTGTTTTGTTTTCTTAGGTGCTGAAAGATGTATTATGTTTAGTATAGCGTGATTAAGTTTCCGCCTGCTCTACCGGCAAAACTCAATTCAGAGGAGCGTGATGGCCATTTTCCCTTTCGATGTGGTCAGCGATATCAATTATAACGTTCGTTGCAGTAATTTGCTTAATAGATTTGTTAATACTTCAAAAACTTGGGTTTCGGTTTTTTTCCCGAATACTATGTCGGGGAAAAAGACAGAAAAAACAGTTTTTTTCCAAAATTTCCGGTTTTTTTCCGAGCCCTCGCATCACTACATATGACACGCATTAAATTATCTGATGAAGAGCGCCGTAAAGTATAGGCGTCTGGCGCGTCTGAAAACTCAGAGTACCTCTAAACGTTTGTAATGCAAGAACGTTTCACGTATCCAACGCAATTGTCTAGCACTTTGCCATAAATATAAATAAATAAATATATATATATATATATGATTTTAAAGGGTTTTGAGCACTATATTATTCGGACCCGCACATTCCTTTGTCTTACGTATATTCAAGTGAGGAGTTAACAAGACCAGACAAAATTGATAACCCGGCTCATTTTCTAAGCAATTCTGTCACAGGCTGTTAGACACCATATCACTGACAGCTTGAGAACCTCTCATTTTCACCTCACAGTCAATTAGATGGCTACATTAGCCGATAAAAACGGTGAAGAATGAATCACGAAGCCAAAAGCGTTAACAACAAAACCTGCGCCCAGCCGTACTTAAGCTGTCAGAGACCATGATGTCGCTCGTGCAAAACAGCGCTTCAGGTTTTGAAACTTTCCTCGGGTAAAATAGCGCCGCTGAAAGAAGAACAGGTCACATTCGATGCAGAGCAACTCTTTGCACGAGTGGGTGGATACTTACGGAAACACATTGCCGACATGCCATGTCGTGTTCTCGGTGTTCCAACGGTTGGACCAGTACTCGAACGGCTTCACGTTGGTTTCGTCATTAGTATTCATCACGGTGTCTCTCGGGGAAGAAAATCTGAAGAGCAGAACGTAATCGAGTCGGTCTTCAGCTGGGCCAACGTTATTGAGTGTTTTCTGGCGGCCAAAGCTAACTTGGGTGCTGCTGAGAGGGTGCCCATAGCGACCTTCCAATGCTATACCGCAGCGCGCGTTCCAACAATACCACAAAAAAACAAAAAACTCCCCCCCCCCCCTCACCCCCTAAACATCATCACTATTGGTACCACGCAGCGCTGCCTTAGCTTTCGTCAGCATCGCCGCCAGTGCGTCGTGCAGCGTCTCAGAAGTTTCTACAGCTGACGTCTCTCCTCGGGTGCTCCAGAACTCATACCACTGCCTACCATCCTGCCGCAAACGGGCTAGTGGATCGTTTTCGCTGACAACTCGAGTGAGCCCTTCGAGTGCAGACATCGCCTGAAGCCTGGCTGAAGAACCTGCCTGTCGTGCTCCTTGGATTACGGTCAGCATTAAAAGCTGGTCTTGGAGACACAGTGGCAGAGCTTCTCTATGGCTCCCCATTTTGTTTGCCTGCAAAAATGACTGAGCCTATCAGACCGAACAAGGTCGACCCTACGTAATTTGCCATGAAATTAAAGCAGACAACGTCAACGCTTCACCCGGTACTGTCTTGCCAACAATTGGCTCCAAAGGTTTTCCAGCGCCCCGCTCGCGTTTATTCTTCCCGCGTTTTTATTCGAAAAGACGCCACTCGGAAGCCCCTGCAGAACTTCTAGGACGGACCATTCGTCGATAGGTCACCCATATTTTACACTTTTATACTACGGTATATGAACGTGAGACTGTTTCAGTCGACAGACTCGAACCTGCATTTTTCCTCCTTCCATTCGGCAATAGAAAACTTCCAAATAACGCGTCACACCGACAAGACACTTTATCTATACTTTATCAACTATAGCCGCTTTTCTAAGCGGGTACGCGGTAAACTTCAAAACACATATAATGGTGTTTGGGAGCTGTTTCATACTGAATACACCTTTTGAAAGCGCTATATCTTTTTAATAATAGGTGTGATGTCTTTGGTATCCACCCTAGCGTATGAAAGAGGTGTTGTTACACCTTCAGGCAGCTTTGTAAAGGTGTTAAGAAAATATTACACCTTTTACAGAGAAGATGCTTCCGCCTGAAAACACCTTTTTTGTGAACCATACTTGACTGAAATAATAGACCGGTGTCATAATAGACTCTGCGTTCAACATATTTTTATGAGATTTAGGGGAGGGGGGGGGGGGGGCTGATCCAACCAGAAAAAAGGGGCGGATTACTCACTAAATAAGACGCGACTGCCGTTTCTCATAGTTTCGGCTTGTAGCTCTGAACCACGGAGGCACCCCATCGCTATCACTATCAACAAGAACACAGGGTCGAACGGGCGGTTCGAAGTGCGTCGCTTGACAGTCAAGGTAAGTTCTTGAATATTCTTTTCAAGTTTTCACAGCAGCTATAGGACCTGGAAATGCGGTGACTAAAGAGGACTTCCGATCTATGAACGTGAGTTTTGTAATAGGAGCCGTACTAACATGGAGAGTATAAACATATTTATTTCCGAGGCGGGGGGAAATCCGAACTTCCTATCAAAACTAGGCATAATATATATATATATATATATATATATATATATATATATATATATATATATATATATATATATATATATATATATATATATATATATATATATAGGCACGCCACTGCCCCAGTGTCACCGTCTTCTTCATCACAATATATATATATATATATTGTGACGAAGAAGACGGCGACACTGGGGCAGTGGCGTGCCTGACCATCACGTGCCACGCTCCGCGCGCACGGCGCGGCTTCCATAAAATCCTTTATATTTCATTGAGTGGACGACGCGTCATTGTCCTTTGCTGCCGGCCGCAGATCTTCGTAACATTTGGTAGAGGTGCGGGGTAAATCATCTTTAGTTCATAGTCATCATCGCTCCGGACCTTGGCTGCAGCAGTCCTCCACCGCAGCCGATTGAGCTCCAGACCATAGCCCCGCCGCACAGCCCTCCCCCCCCCACCCTCCCCTCCCCCCCGCGAACTGCCAGAAATGACGAGGTGACTGTGAGAGAGGTTCAACGAATGTGAGTTACAAGGATTTTTTAGGAAGAACGCCGTGAACAAAATGAACTATGGACGAAATTGAGATACAGACGCAAGGTTATGGTCCCCTGTCCTGTCCACAGCCCCGTCTGTGTTGATAGCGGTCAAATGAATTCCCCAGCCCGGATCGTGACGTTGTGGGGCTGTGGCTGGCACAGAGATCGGCAATGCTGTGGAGAGAGGCTGCAGGCTCAAAAACATCTTCATTCTACGCGGCCGGCAGCAGTCATACGTGTCTTCGGCCTCGTCTTCTGTGTGTGTATGTGTGTTTTCAGTTTACTCTCGTGTTTCCTTCATTCATCGGCCCCGTCGTCCTCTCTAAAGGAGGGGGTAATGTGACGAAGAAGACGGCGACACTGGGGCAGTGGCGTGCCTGACCATCACGTGCCACGCTCCGCGCGCACGGCCCGGCTTCCATAAAATCCTTTCTATCTTATTGAGTGGACGACGCGTCATTGTCATTTACTGCCGGCGCACATTTTCGTAACAATATATATATATATGGGTGATTTCATTTGAATTCGACCAAACTTGTCGGGGGGGGGGGGGGGGGGGGGGGTCTTTAGATTTAATCGTAAAAAATATATATGATACCCGAATCCTTGTGATGAAAGAAACTGCCTTTGAAAAAAATTAGAATTGTATAGTTAGAGAGAAAAAAATTCTGAGGCGCTGCAGGGTAGAAAACGTCAAATTCCCAATTTGATTTTATCTCGACTTTAGCCGCCATTTACAAAATATCGAATTCTTGCAGAATTATTATATTTATTACGCAATATTTACGCAGACTTGGCTATTTTTAGAGGTAAATTTCTGTCTTCTGTTATTTTAAATTAATTTTCTAAAAAATCTCAAACATGCAACCTAGAGCAAGTGTGACGCAACTTCGGACAGCTATATAAAACGAACGGTAGGGCGCAATGACGTGAGACAGATATCTGTGCGTAGCTATCAATGTAAGCTATCGATTGACATGTATTTTCTGGTTATTGTGTTTACCGTGTTGTTTTTATTCTGCCACAAATATAGACAAAAATGAAAAATATGCAAATTTTGAAGTCAATTTTCTCAAAAAAGCCATTTTTTATTTCGTTCATACTTTTTTAATTTATTGCCCAGATTCTGCTTAATAACCGGGTATAAATATTGCTTGACCTTTTTTTGTTGTAGTTTTAGGACAACCAGTTGAATAAGTCATTTTTATCGCGTAATACCAACCTCCGGCTCCGGTATGCGGGCTTCACCGCAACATTGATAATTGGCTCAGCAATATCAGATTTCACTGAAAACTACTTTACCCCGTAGAATTTTTACTAATATATTTTTAAAAAAATCAGTAACGTCATAAAGAAATGAGAGATGGCTGAATTGACGAAGTGATGTCTGCGAAGTCACAGCTTGCATTTTCGAACGTCGCCACGACAACGTTTTACTACTGAGGTTGCACAAAACTTATATATTTAAATTATTTGTTTGAACATTGTGCCGTGATAAACAACAACAAAAGTAAATTTAGTTAACATCAATGTTAACTAGCCTAAGCGAGTGGAGAGATCCAAGACGTTTCATCCGTTTCGATCATGTCGGGTTGCATTCTACGGCACTATCCAGTCCAGAAAAACAATATCCCCGTTTATGCGTTTCGGACAATCTTTATTTTATACAAACATTATCGGAAAATCGGCTCGAATTTTTTAAATTTACCGCATGACATTCCTTCGCCTATCCTTCATTGGCCCTTAGTATTCCGAGGTACGTGAAAAAAAATTTACTACATTTTGTCCATCCTTCGGCTTTTGGACTACTTGTTGCATACGTTTAAATTTTTTGGGCTACGCACAGCATATCGCAAGTTGCTTTTCAGCTTACAGTAATCATACTCTTTTGTTGGCAGTATGCAATAAAACATTCATAGGTAACAGTTTAACAAAATCACTCTATTTATTGAGTAATTTATTTGGGTTAACAAGGCACACCTATAGAAACACATAATTTTTCACAGAAGCGCAAATGTACAAGAAGAGGCTTTAACAACAAAACAAAACAAAGCCGTAGATCATCTGAGAGTTCCGCACGTGCACCACAGAGGTTCATGCATTAAGACGAAGATAGAACAGTTCGCTCAAGCTGCACTTCGCCCCTTTCGCGTCGCCACACGCGCGAAGCGCGGATGCCTTTCCGAGTCGGTACGCAACTCCACTCTGTTTTCTTGATTCTGCGGAAGTCACTCACCTCCTTCTCGGATAAGTTCATGAGAGTTACGTTTTTGACACGCCTTCCAACCTTGTCCAAAAAATCTACTGATGTTCGGACGAGCTGCTCCTCCGGTGAACGGAGGTTGTGCACCGTTGCGTGGTGTTTGAGAAGCCCTCCAACCCCGTCACAAGAGTTTTTACCATGCCCAGAGGCAGAAAATATCCACTTCAATTGGGTATGGCCCACTCGTTCGAACTCATGCAGCTGAAATCTATTTTTAAAATGAGCAGGTGCCCCGTCGGATATGTACGTTAGTGAAGCATAAACTGGGATGTGCTCCTCCAGCCAGTCTTCTATAAGTCTCAGAGCCAGCAGCGCATGGGAAGTGTCATGACATAAGTCCTCACAGACAACGCCGAAGCATTTTGAGCCTTGCGACGTGGATGCCACACACGTGAACACAGAGAGCTAACGCTTGTGCCAGTGGTACTCCTGTATCTCGTGTGGCAAAATTACCGTCCAGTTCTCCGCAAAATCGAAGTGCATGACGATGTGTCTTGAGGTCACACTAGACTTCTCAATCCGTATGGCTTCCCGTTGTGTCCTACGAATAAAATCGTGCGTGGAAAACCTTGTGGCCCATTTCTGTAACTCTTTCAAAAAGCC